CAACACTCCTCCAACACTTCTACTTTTGTTCCTTCTAATTCTACAGTTTCTATTCTTACTCCTCCATCTATCATTCCTCATTCTAATGTCACTCAGTCTCAACATCATATGGTCACTCATACGAAACAAGGAATTTTTAAACCTGTTCGCAAACTAAATCTTCACATTGATACCTCATCTCTTGTTCTTAAAAATTATTTGCAGGCTTTTAAAGATCCAAACTGGCTCAATGCAATATTTGAAGAATATACTGCTCTTATCTCTAACAAAACTTGGGTACTTGTTCTGAGACCTGCTGATGCTAATGTTATTAACTGTATTTGTCTGTTTAAAAAAGAAACTTAATGCATATGGGTCTTTAGCTTGCTATAAAGCTCGTCTTGTTGCTAATGGACGCAGCAGTGTCCCGGTATTGATTGTGATGAGACATTTAATCTTGTCGTTAAGCCCACCAACATTCGCATTGTTCTTACCATTGTTGTCACTCATCAATGGCCTATTAGACAGCTTGATGTGAAGAATGTTTTTCTTCACGGGCATTTACAGGAAACTGTATACATGCAACAACCTCCAGGTTTTAGAGATTCCTCTCGACCCGATTTTTTGTGTCTTCTTTAGAGATCTCTTTATGGTCTCAAGCAGGCACCTCGAGCTTGGTTTCAACGGTTTGCCATGTTCATTTCTCGCATTGGTTTTGTTCATAGCAGGTGTGACACTTCTTTATTTATATACATACATGGATCTGATATGACATATTTATTACTATATGTGGACGACATTGTTCTTACTGGCTCTTCCCTTAAATTATTGTCTCATATTATCTCTTTGTTGAGTGCCGAGTTCTCTACGTCATATCTTGGGGATCTACACTATTTTCTGGGTATTACAGCTACTCGAACGTCCGATGGATTGTTCTTGTCTCAACACAAATATGCCACCGAGATTCTTAATCGAGCTTTTATGTCTAATTGCAAGCCCGCTTCTACCCCTGCTGGTTTATCTGCAAAACTAGATGGATATGGTCCTCCTATTGATGATCCCACTTTGTATCGTAGCTTAGCTAGTGCATTACAATATCTTACATTCACTCAACCTGATATCACGTATGCTGTGCAGCAGATATGTCTATATATGCATGACCCGCGGGAACCTCACTTTACTGCTCTCAAACGTATTTTACGTTATGTTCGATGTACTACTGCTTATGGGCTTCAGCTGTATTCTTCGCCCAGTCGTTCACTCACTGTCTACTCCGATGCTGACTGGGGAGGCTGTCTAGTGACTCGTCAATCTACATTGGGCTATTGTGTCTTTTTAGGTCACAATCTTCTCTCATGGTCCTCCAAACGTCAGAATACCACATCGCGGTCGATTGCTGAAGCTGAATACAGAGGTGTTGCCAATACGGTTGCCGAAACATGTTGGCTTCGCAATTTACGTCTCGAGCTTCATTATATGCATGCCAAGGCTACCATTGTTTATTGTGATAATGTTAGTGTTGTTTACATGTCATCCAATCCAGTTCATCATCAACGCACCAAACATATAGAGATTGATCTTCATATTGTTCGTGACAAGGTCGACATCGGACATGTTTGAGTTCTTCATGTTCCGTCTTCTTCCCAATATGTTGATATCTTCACTAAGAGACTGTCGTCTCCTTTAGTTCTTGATTTTCGATCCAGCTTGAACGTTCGTGCTCATACCCTCGTTCAAACTGCAGGGGGTTGTTAACATATTATATTTTGTGTATTTGTATTTTAGTCCGACCCATACGTTTGGCACTATATTGTTTTCTATTGTATCATGTATATATCGAGGGTTATCAAAGATATTGTTTTTACGGGAAATACAACCAATTTCACCAGTAATGCAGGATGAAAGGATGACTTGTAAGGAAGATTTGGGATTATGTGTTTTAAGTCCATATCATGCATCGTATTATTATTTTTTGGGATTTGAACTTATTTTAGTGTATACTTTTATTTTCATTTTTTTGTTAACCGGAAGGAATAAAATTTCAATGATGATGAATGAAGGGTTTTTTTTTAATATATAAATGTTTTGTTTTTTAAATACATTATTTATGATGCCTAACTATGCATAATTCATTAGGCCAGAGTGAGTGGCCTTGCCACCCCTCTCGCCAAAAAGTCGCCAACTAATGTTAAGCCACTCCTTTAATACTCGCTAGTTGATTCGCTAAGTATGGATCGTCATGGACTCAGCAAGAAGTGAGAGAAATATTATTAGGTTGTTATTGGTTGTTTACTTTTTAACTACAAAACTATTGGTTGTTTGTTTTTTTTTTCTTTTTCAAAATAAAACTTATTTAAAATCAAACACTACCACTCCTTATATTTTTTGTGTTATACATGCTAAACCTATGTGTCATAAAAAAACTAAAAAATCCTAGGTGGCATGTGCTAAGAGTGTTTTCACTCCTTCCAGCCTTAGGCCCTACCCAACGTATTACATTTTGGCATTGACTAGGTGAAAAGTAACCTAACATATTATACTTTGATATTATTTATATATTATATATTTCTATGATAAATGCTTCATTTTATTATTTTTTGGTAAACAAACATTATTTTTTGGGCAAATACCATAAAAAGTCACAATATTTTCATGTATAATTAAAAAAAAATTTATGATTATTTTTTTGTCGGCTCTGGCCACAAGTGAGACATAGGGTTATAACTCTAGCTCATTTAACTATTTTTATGATTAACTCTGTTATTTTTACTTTTTTTTTGAAAAATCAATCCTAAAAGTTCAAATTTGGTTCTGTAGTTTGCAAAAAATTACATAATATGTCCAAAACTCGTTTTTATGTTTTTTAACTTCTTTATTTTCATTTATTTTTTATTTTTTAGTCAAAACTAAACTTGTTTTTATATTTTTTTCGTTTTTTTTTGTATATATTTTTTTATATTTTTCGTTTTTTTTGTTTTTTATATTTTTTAACTTCTTTTTTCCTTTTTTTATATTCATTAATTTTTCATATTTTTTTATTTTTTTTTGTTGTTTTGTTTTTTCTTTATTTTCGTTTTTTCGTTTTCTTTAGAAAACCAAAAAAAAAAAACTTAAGCACCACAAATGTAATATACTTTAATATATTCATACACTTTATACTTTTTAAAAAATATCAAAAGAAACTATCAAATTGACGAAAAACAAAACGTAACAAAAATACGAAACAAAAATACGAAACAAATACGAAAAATATAAAAAAAAATATTCATACATTTTACACTTCCTGAAAAATATCAAAAGAAGTTATCAAATTGACGAAAAACAAAACTTAAAAAAACTAAAAATAATATATATATATATATATATATATATATATATATATATATATATATATATATATATATATATATATATATATATATATATAAAAACAAGTTTAGTTTTGACTAAAAAATAAAAAATAAATAAAAATAAAGAAGTTAAAAAAATATAAAACCGAGTTTTGGACATTAGGTGTAATTTTTTGCAAACTACAAGGACCAAATTTGAACTTTGAGGACTGATTTTGCAAAAAAAAAAAATAACAGAGTTAACCATGAAAATCGTTAAATGGGCTAGAGTGATAACTATATGTCTCATTTGTGGCCAGAGCCAACCAAAAAACTAATAATAGGGCTTTTCTTAGTTACGCATGAAAATGTTATGGCTTTTATGGTATTTGCCCTTATTTTTTCTATACCGCTGCAGTGTTTCATTCCATTCATTCGTGGTGAGTAAATCGTGAAATATTAGCAATATTTGGACTTGCCAAATTTTGAACCTTAAACCTTCTTTATGGAATTCCACACTTCAACTATTATGCTCACATGATCATGTTATACTATTTATCATCTTTTTTTTGGTTGAGCAAATTAATCTACTCCTAAATTAGCATCACCTATGTCTCCAACGAGACTTAAACTCATTACCTCTCAATTGATAAAATCACTCCTTACCGCTAGGTCAAAAGCCCTTTGATATTTTTAACACCTATAGCATCATATTTTGCTTTGTTTTCTTTATTTTGTTTTAGCTTTTAAAACCTTCATTTGACTTTCAATAGTTTGTTATTTTGATCATTTGACTTCATTAACACATATTGGTCAATATGTCATTTTTCTGCCATATTTTCTCAATAAGACACTGTACTTTAGCTTGCCTCCCATTTCAGTTGAAATTGTCATCTTATGTCTTCCATTTTCTTTTTAGATATATAATATTCCAATCTTGCGTCATTTATTTCATTTATTACTTTTGTTTTTCACTATCTCACCCCTTTAAACATATGGGCTTTAACTATATTGTAATGATAGTTAAAAACATACTGTATTATTTATTTTAATAGTATTAAATCTAAATTTATTTATTACTGATTATTATAATACAATTATTTGATCAATTGTGTTTCCATAAGCTTTCTTATATTGTTTTCTTATAGAATATTTATTATACTTTGATTAACTGACCTAATTTTTTATTGCATTTGGTTTCAAGACAATGATTAGTTTCTATTTAAGAATATGTGTACTCCACTCCTAAAAAAATTATATTCGCAAAACATCTACCAAAAGTAAAAGCAATATTATAAATAAAATAAAACCATCAATATTTACACAACCCAATAGACCATCGATTAAAGTCGCATGTCACATCCACATATTTTAACATCAACAGGTGACTAATTATTAAATTACTGTTAAATCAAATTATACTTACAATTCATATATTTTTAGTCAGCTTTTATTTTGATAATATATTTTAGAAAACAATATTAAAAATATGTAAATATTTATAATTAAATCCACAAAACATAGTAGAACATTATTTTAGATAATTAATTCTACTATTCAATTATTAACTTTTACATCATAAAATTATTAACTTTACATCATAAATCTTTACAGACTTTAAATTAGGAAACTATCTAAATTTAATTTTGTATAGAGTGGGGTCGCTATATGTCTAGAAGTCCCATCAGTCCAGCTTTAGCCCTCCCCACCCTTCAACTCCCAAAATCCCCACTCAATTTTCTATCCATTAATACTACCACTACCATTAGCCTCCTTTTTTTGTCTCTCTTCTTCGTTATCTTTTCCAATTGTCTCTTTGTAATGTAGCATCATCGTACTAAGGTCATCACCGCAAACCAAAGAAGAAGAAAGAAGAAGAACAACAATAATGTCTGGTTTTCTAAACGATGAGCTCTCGAAGAAAACCTCGATTTTCGGTTTAAGATTATGGGTTGTTGTTGGAATTTGCGTTGGAGCCGCTATTGTAATCTTGATGTTCTTAATTTCACTCTATTTCACCTCAAAACACAACAATTCCTGCAAAAAACCAAAACTTTACCTCAAAAACCCACAATTCCAAACATCTCTAAAGAAATTCGTGAAATCCGCATCGACCCGACCCGAACTCATATTCAAGAAGCCCCAAACACCATCCATAAACAGCATCATCCCGGTCAAAACCCGTATCCCGAATCTGATTCTTTAGCTGTAGTTGATAGGCATGCAGATGATGAGAGTAAATTAAATGGGTACCAGAAAATTCAGATAGATATAGGAAAGAAGCACCGGATTTCTTACCCGGAAAAGGGCGGTGGCGGTGGTGGCGGTGGGTCTTCTCATGAAAGCGGGTCCGGCGATCAACTGGCACCCATATCGGTCCAACCCGAGGTTTCCCATTTGGGTTGGGGCCATTGGTATACTCTTAGAGAGCTTGAAATTGCAACAAATGGTTTTGCAGATGAGAATGTGATCGGTGAAGGTGGATATGGGATTGTTTATTGTGGAGTTTTAGTGGATAAAACCACCGTTGCTGTCAAGAATTTGCTCAACAACAGGTTCAATTCATATATTCCATAACATGCATATAACAATTTGATCAAATTCCATTAATAAATTTGTAGTCTTGATTGTGGTTTTTGTAGCATATATTGTCGCACAATTTTGTTAATCTTTCCAATTTATGAAAAAGATCACAACATACATGTTTTCGTGCTTTTGTTATGAACAGAGGACAAGCAGAGAGGGAGTTTAAGGTTGAAGTAGAAGCAATTGGACGCGTACGCCATAAGAATTTTAGTCAGGTTGCTCGGCTATTGCGTTGAAGGAGCTCACAGGTACCCCACAAATAATGCACTTCGTTTCAAAGTTCAACAGTTTTTTTTTTTTATTGTTTTTTTTAATTCAAACTGCATAATTTATGGTTTCTTTCCTATTTAGGATCCTTGTTTATGAGTATGTAGACAACGGGAACTTAGAACAATGGCTTCATGGAGATGTAGGACCAACAAGCCCACTTACATGGGAGATACGCATGAACATTATACTCGGAACAGCCAAAGGGTACATTCTTAATTCTAAATTTTCAATCTTTTTTCCATGTAATTTGAAACCCTTTATGGATTATGATAATTCATAGGTTGACCTATTTGCACGAAGGACTTGAGCCCAAAGTTGTTCATCGTGATATCAAATCAAGCAACATTTTGATCGATAGGCAATGGAACCCAAAAGTTTCGGATTTCGGCTTGGCCAAGCTTTTAGGCTCAGAAAGTAGTTATGTCACCACCCGAGTCATGGGAACATTTGGGTATGTCATTACTTTTTTCAAATTTATGGCCCCGAGTTTCAGGGTTTGAGTCTCAGCAGCTATAATGTAAATTTTAGTTCCACATTGGATTAGGCTTTTGTGGGCACTACGCTATTATGTTAGACGTCTAGCAGGCCACTGTTTACCTGATTCACATCTCACATGATGCTTCTGATAGATGTGGGCCAGATCAGGGTGGTTTAAATAATAACCCTTTTGCAGAAGCTCTTGACATTTATAGTCTTTTATGTTTCCTAATGATGAAAAAAAAAATATGATTTTGATTAATAGGTATGTTGCTCCTGAGTATGCAAGTACTGGCATGTTGAATGAAAGAAGCGATGTTTATAGTTTTGGGATTCTTATTATGGAGATAATTAGCGGTAGAAACCCTGTAGACTATAGCCGACCTCAAGGAGAGGTTTGTTTGTGTCAATTATTTTTTATTTTATTTTTATGTTGTTTTCACTTATTGGATTCTAATTAAAGTTGACACAGGTGAACCTTGTTGATTGGCTTAAAGCGATGGTAACAAATAGAACCGCTGAGGCAGTTTTGGATCCTAAAATCCCCGAGAAACCGTCTTCAAGAGCATTGAAGCGTGTTCTTTTAGTAGCATTACGCTGCGTTGATCCAACTGCTCAAAAAAGGCCGAAGATGGGTCACGTTATTCACATGCTTGAGGCCGATGATTTTCCTTTTAGAGATGTAAGTTTGTAGTGTGGGAGTTACAATTCCAATGCTACGGAGCTACTGTGTACCTGACTTAAATCTCACATTATGGTCTTGGGGCAGACTGTGTGGGTCAGCTCAAGGGTTGCTGGAAAACTGACTGTTTTATTTTATTTCTTTTCATAATATCATAATCTTGGTGTCGATGTTGTAGGAACGGAGAGGGTCTCGAGAAACCGCAAGGGAGAGACCGTTTGAGAAACGACATGTTGAGTCGGGTGATAGTAGTGGATATGAAAGTAGCATTCAAACAAGCAAATCGGTATGGAAAAGGGAAGAACAACTCTAGAATCTACTCCCTTAAGTTAAGAGTTGACATTTGTGTATAATGTTGTCGATTCGTGCCATTCATGTAAGTTCACACGTTCACGATTACTCATTGTAGAGATTTCATAGCATTAGCATTTGGTTTTGAGTTTTCTGAGTTGTTATGCTCATAATGCGTGTTTGTTTGATTGATTGATTTTGTGTTCTTGGTTTAATTTGATCGGTGTTGCGTGCAAAAACAAGATAATAGAAAACGAAAATTAGATTTTATTGTGATTGAATTGATACTTGGTACTCTTCTTTACCATTTGCAACTTGTTTCTTTTATTTTGGTTAATTGCAAAATTGACTTCCAAACCATATTATATATCCGTAGGTAGTGGTGGTCCTGGTGGATCCTTTTTTTGGTGGCGAAGTTGTGGTGTGAGACGTAAAAGTTGGGTATATTAAGGGTGTGTTTAGGTCAACTCCAAGGGCAAACACTAAAAAACACAAAAATGGTGTTCTTTTAACACCAAAATACAATTTATATTCCAACCAAACACTAAAAGTTTACACCAAATATATATTTTCATATTATTATAATAAATAACATATGTGAATAATATTAAAAGCAATGCATATATAATAAAATAATGCATTTATATTGAAAAAGTGATTTGGTGTTGGAAGAATGCTCCGCTAAATATAGCGGCCAACAAATCTCCCCACAAAAATAGTGATACTTTTACAGGTCCATTGGAGTAAAATATACTGGCTTTCCACCAATTTGAAGTCCGATTGGAGTTGGTCTTAGGACGGAGGTTTTGAAATATTTTATAAGATTTTAGCTTTTAAAAAAAAACTTGTAAAAAAGAAGTTTGTTCGATAGTAAGAGCTTCTAAAATTTTATTTTAAACAAAAAACTTTTAATCCAAAAATTACTTCAAATAATTTTTGAGAACTTTTAGTTTTTCTTTTTGTTCTATGTACTTTTACATTTTAAAAAACTAGCAATTACTTTAAAAGTTCCAGCAAAAGAGACATTAAATAGATTAAGATAGAAGATAAAACATAGAACTTTTTCTAGCTTGGTGGTTAAAGGTTCAGCATCCATGGGGGGTGACCCGGGTTCGAATCCCTTAGCCCCCCACTTCGTTTTGTTTTTTCCCTTTGGCTTCTTTAGGTCAAAACCGGCTAGGGGCTAAAAACGAACAAATTAATGCAAGTTTGAGGTATAAATGAACATAAATTTCAACTTTGGGCAAAACCAACAATCCCTTTGGCTTCTTTAGGTCAAAACCGGCTAGGGGCTAAAAACGAACAAATTAATGCAAGTTTGAGGTATAAATGAACATAAATTTCAACTTTGGGCAAAACCAACAAAACGCTGCAAACTTGAAGGTTTTTATGACACTGTAATGATTTCGAACCAAATGATAATATATATTAAAATCATATAATTTAATGGTCGTTACTCGCAACTGTTGTAAATAAAACTATATATAATTCTCGATTTAATGTTATTTTTAAGATTATGTATAATTACTTTAGAAATTATTTTGTTGACATTTTATATAAGGTAATGTAATGTAATTTATAACTTTATGTTATATTTAATTATTATTGTTGTTAATAGATCCAATTATTAGGAGAAAAAGAATAGTCATTGGGGTTTTAAATAAATGTGGTGCAACTAAAAATGTCTTTTGGTGCAACTAAAAATGCATTTTTTATAAGTATATATAGATGTAAAATGATAGATATACATAGATAGATATAGATATATAGATACTCTTCTATTTTCTCTCAATTCCTTTCCAACCTTCTTCAATTCCATTCATTTTTGCTCTATAACCTTTCAACAAAATGAATCCAAACATCGAGAAAATAGTAATAGAAGATAGTCCATATAGTACTTCATCTTCATCCAACGATGAACCTAGCAACGCTAATTTGTTAGCTTATTATCTATCGTACTACACAAGTTTTGTTTTAGAGTAATGTATGTTCAAACAACATTCTTACGAGAAACACAATCCACAAAGATCGTATAGAGACTTGATAACTACTAATCAAACATTACTTTGCTACTGATTCAACTTTTGCTAACGAGAAATTTTTGAGAAAGTTTCGTATGAGAAAAGGTTTGTTTATGTGACTTATTGGTGACCTGGAGACGAATTATCCTTTTTTCAAACAATATGGGATGCAAGAAATCCAGAGAAGTTTTAGTACGCTACAAAAATACGTCTCAGAAATATGTCAAATAGCGTACGGAAGCAACCCGAACTCGTTAGATAAGTATCTAAATATGTCATAAAGAACTTCACATGAAAGTCTTAAAACTTTTTCTATGGTGTTGTCCAACTGTATAAGGTCGGATATTTACGATGTCCAACGTCCACTGGAATTCAACTTTTGTACAAAACTAGACATGGATTCCTTTGAATGTTTGGTAGCATTGATTGCACACACTGGAATTGGAGGAATTGTCCAACGAAATTGAAAGGCCAATACATGAGGGTGATCATGAGTATCTAACAATGATACTAGAAGCGGTGACGTCACAAGATTTATGATTTTGGCATGCATTTTATGGTGTAACCAGTTCGAACAATGATCTTAACGTCTTTACCAATCGTCATTGTTTGAGGAGAAATATCATTGAACAACCCCCCGAGTGTTCATTTTATCTGAACGGTCAAGCACTACAAGCATGGTTACTATCTTGAAGATGGAATATATCCAACATAGGTTGTATTTGTGAAGTCATATATGCATCCAATAACAAACAAGAAAAAACGGTTTAAGGCGGCACAAACAAGAAAGGATGTAGAACGTGCGTTTGGGGCCCTTAAAGCACGTTAGGACATATTAAAATCATCGACATAGTCTATGTCAACAAAGAGAAACACTTGTGTTATACTCAACAATATGATACTGCAAGATGAGGGTGCTATGATATCTCGTGTATACCAGTGTGATCCCCCCAATGACGGAGCTTTTAACCCAAAATTATTGCATGAATTGTGCAATGTTGAAACCCGCCACCAGCTTCAATTTGATCTTTCTAATTACATTGAGCATGCCTACATTCCGTCTCTGGATAACTAGTTAGTTTTAATTGTCGTTTTACGATTTTAATTATATTGTCTTTTTTTAATTGAGTTTTTTTATTTATCGTGTTTTTTAATTGTATTAGTTTTTTTAATTAATAAATATTATGTTTTATTATGCATTATATTTTTTAATTTAATTAAATTAAAATAATAATATAGAAAATAAGTTGAATGGATTGGAAAAATGAGTTTCCGATTTATAATGGGTTGGGGAAGATTTAAAAAAAAATTGATACAAAAACTAACTTGACAAATAGACGGAAAAGATGGGAAAAAATAGATACCTTTCATACGAGCCTCTTTTCTCTTCATAGCTACCTGTTGGCTCTATCCTATATTGTTGTCATTTGTTTGTTTTTCTTAAAAAAATAAATAAATAAATAAATAAAATAAAAAAAAAAATGTCCCAGTGAGTAGGAGAGGTAATCTCTAAGGTGGTGTTTGTTTTTGTCTGCAGATCTACGTGGTCTCTTCTGTCTGCGCCGCGCAGACCACGCGCAGACATTAGCATTGGCAGACTGTTTGTTTTTTTGAAGACTGCAGACCTAAAAATGTCTGCGCGCCCTCTTCTTGGCGCAGATGTGGACCATAGTCTTCTAACATCTTCAGACATCTTCTAGCTTTAAAAAAACACATATATCTTCATTTTTTTTAAGTTTTTTTTTTATTTATATTTTTTCCAACTTTATTAATGATAAATAATTTGAAAAAAAAATTACAAAACTTAAAAAAAAAAACGTTCGACGATATAAACATGATATTTTTGACAAATTTATAAATAAAGTTTTATTACAATAATAGTCGTTGAAGTTGTTTATATAAATATGAAAAAAAAATCATAATATATTCTTATATTTTTTTGTCAAATTTTGTAAAACATTATTTAATACAGTATCGTCAATTTCCCGAGAAAATATTTATGGTACGTTTTTAATGGATTTAATTGAAAAAATTGAAGTTTATTTCCATCCATTTATGTATCAAATTCTTTGATCCCTAATTATAATGTTTAGTTATAACTTTGCAACCAAAGTTGTTGGTTTTTATTAAATATATACGTTAATTCATACCATTTTTATTTTTATTTTTATACAATAATAGATAAAAGTTGATCTAGATTTGTTAATTATTTATAACAAAGTCATAAAAATATTAAAAAATCACTTTGAAGTTTAAAAAATTAAGTTCATTTAGATTTCAGTTTATTTTAGTAGCCCGCAGATGTTAAAAAAACAAACAGTCTTTTTTTTTTCAGACTGCAGACGTTTGGTCCACCTCTTCTATTGCAGAGGTCTACAGATGTGGTCCGCAGACTGCATACATTTTGTATCAGAAAAAACAAACAGCACCTAACTGGCTAGGAGTATTAACTTCATATTTGTGGGTATTGGTAGGGTAAATAATAAAAAAAACAAATTTATTTTGTGATAATTTTAAAATAAATAATATCTACATGTCAATTTATGAGTTCTTTTAATTTTTAAAATTAAAAAGTCACATAATACTTATAGTTATATGTCTAAAGTATCAAGTGTAATAAATATTATACTAAATTGCAATTAATATGTTTCTTCATTCTTTATTTCAAAATTTTATTTTAAAAAATACTTCCTATTTACATTTTAATATATATATATATATATATATATTTAATTAACCCGTGTAATACACGAGTTTTACACCTAGTTAATTAAAATAAAACAATAAACCCTTATAAATTTAACTTTCTAATAGAAATAATTTTCTATCTTGAAAAGTAATAATTTTTTTCAAATGCCTATTTTTAGATCTGTTATATCAATTGTGAAGTTTTTTCATTTGTATAGAATTTTTTTTCAAAAAAATATTTGATATTATGTTCGAAATATCCATTTTAAAATATGATATTTTTGTTTTTTTAATTAAATTTGATTTTAAGCACTTATATAGTATATATTTCCTATTACTATGTGTTTTTAACTTTTTTTTTAGATTTTAGTAAAAAAATGTTTTCTTAAAATTCCGAAAATATTCATCAAATTTGAGACTTATTCTTTAAATTTAAGAGTTTTTTTTTGAACTTTGAATTTAGTTCATAATCAAAATGACATTTTTCTATACAAGGACCAAATTTGCCAACATATGAAATTAATGTGGCCAAAGTTTAAAAACCAAAAGCTTTGTAATAAAAACACAT